AGATCATCGCCCTAGCTACGGAGCTTGCTTTGTGCGATGCTATTGACAGGGGGCTTCAGTTCTGCAGAAACAGACCGAGACATATGGGATAAAACTCAGTGCAATAAAGTCGATCTTCACGACTTCAACTCTAACTTCAGTTTAAACTTAAAATTGTGTTTGATATCGTTTTGTGAGTAAGACCCTCGAACACACTATCCATGTACAAGAAAACCGTATTACAAGAGAAGTCACAACAAGATTCTTAGAGAAGCGGCTATTAACGCGGACAGAGCGAGAATGAAAACAAATACTGCTAGCAGTGTGAAAGTCGAAGTCACGTACTTCCCTAAAGCTGAGCAGAAAGTAGACAGTAGAATCACTCGCACGGAAAGCCTTCCTCATAATCTCGAATGCGTACAGCTGGCATCTGGAAGTAGATTTAGAAAACTTTGATAGTCCCTGTAATCCGAAAGACACATCTGAGACCAAATATCGTACTTCATTTCTCAACTGCTCGTCAGCTACTTATTAAACTAACGAGTCGAGCTCGAGAGACGTCCATAAAATGAAGAAGTACAGTGATTCGTCACCCATCTGAGGAACAACGAGTGCGCAGTACGACTCTTCCCCATCGAGGCAGTCGCTAGAGAGCTCATGCCCAATTCTACAATACAAACTGGATTGTGAGGCAGGCGATAGAGAGCTAATGCCCACTTCTACAATACAAACTGGATTGTAATGCAGGCGATAGAGAGCTAATGCCCAATTCTACAATACAAACGGGATTGTAATGCAGGCGCTAGAGAGCTCATGCCCAATTCTACAATACAAACTGGATTGTGAGGCAGGCGCTAGAGAGCTCATGCTCAATTCTACAATACAAACTGGATTGTAATGCAGGCGATAGAGAGCTCATGCCCAATTCTAAAATACAAACTGGATTGTGAGGCAGACGCTAGAGAGCTAATGCCCAATTCTACAAAACAAACTGGATTGTAATGCAGGCGATAGATAGCTCATGCCCAATTCTACAATACAAACTGGATTGTGAGGCAGGCCATAGAGAGCTAATGCCCAATTCTACAATACAAACTGGATTGTGAGGCAGGCGATAGAGAGCTAATGCCCAATTCTACAATACAAACTGGATTGTGAGGCAGGCGCTGGAGAGCTAATGCCCAATTCTACAATACAAACTGGATTGTGAGGCAGGCGATAGAGAGCTTATGCCCAATTCTACAATACAAACTGGATTGTGAGGCAGGCGATAGAGAGCTAATTCCCAATTCTACAATGCAAACTGGATTGTGAGGCAGGCGATAGAGAGCTAATGCCCAATTCTACAATACAAACTGGATTGTGAGGCAGGCGCTGGAGAGCTAATGCCCAATTCTACAATACAAACTGGATTGTGAGGCAGGCGATAGAGAGCTAATGCCCAATTCTACAATACAAACTGGATTGTGAGGCAGGCGCTGGAGAGCTAATGCCCAATTCTACAATACAAACTGGATTGTGAGGCAGGCGATAGAGAGCTTATGCCCAATTCTACAATACAAACTGGATTGTGAGGCAGGCGATAGAGAGCTAATTCCCAATTCTACAATGCAAACTGGATTGTGAGGCAGGCGATAGAGAGCTAATGCCCAATTCTACAATACAAACTGGATTGTGAGGCAGGCGCTGGAGAGCTAATGCCCAATTCTAAAATGCAAACTGGATTGTGAGGCAGGCGATAGAGAGCTAATGTCCAATTCCACAATACAAACTGGATTGTGAGGCAGGCGCTGGGGAGCTAATTCCCAATTCTACAATACAAACTGGATTGTGAGGCAGGCGCTGGAGAGCTAATGCCAAATTCTAAAATGCAAACTGGATTGTGAGGCAGGCAGAAAGTAGGAGCACTAAAACCACTGGGCAAGGAGGCAGAAACAGACCGATTCTCTGTTTGCAGTCATCAAAGGTAGAGGTGAAAGAATCAACTTTATGCCACCGAGTTTTTTCCCATACGGTTCATTCTCTCTCATCAGAACAGCTAACTGCTGACAAAAGCGTGGCACAGAGCACGACCTACGTAGCTCCGGCGACGATCCCAAGTGACTTCATAAAATTGCACTTGTGAACTGAACTTGCCACAGTGAAACAAACCCTCGACCTTTAGATCGAGATGCAAACGTCTAAACTACGTCCTCACAGAGACCATGCAGTAATCAGATCAACGTGGGGGAATGATGCATGTTCTGGGTCCCTCCTGCAAAACGATAAGCGAAGATATTACAATCACAATAGCAACCTATTTCCCAGCTTTCCTATGTAAGCAGATTAGCCATTCTCTCAGGTTTGACATTGCACCCACAAACAACCATTTCTCTGTTCACTGAGCAAACGTCAGCAAAGTCCCAGCTGCCAACTTTCTATGGAGAGTCACACGCAATGATCACCTACAGGAAGAGGCACAGAAGGCAGGCCCCGGTTCAAGTAACTTACTCATGACGACAGCTAGCTTCCTACATGTAAGAGTGGAGACGGAGCTATGAGCAGGGTGTGGAACAGCAATATGATAGTGGTGCCAAGTCAAGTGTTATAGCTGCTAGAAGGCAATAAGGTGCTGGCAGAGGCTAGCCGGCAGGTGGAGACAAGTTACCTCGTCCCATCAAAGCCGCGGGAGTCAATAGGGCACTGAGTTGTGGAGCTGAGACAAAGTTTGCCTTCACCGGCCGGGTGGCCCGTGGATCAGTACTTCGCGACAACCATAACTTGTGATGTGAGTGTAACTGTGGAGCTGAGACACAGTTTGCCTTCACCGGCAGGGTGGCCCATGGATCAGTACTTCGCGACAACCATAACTTGTGATGTGAGTATAACTGTGGAGCTGAGACACAGTTTGCCTTCACCGGCAGGGTGGCCCATGGATCAGTAGCTACATCGCGACAACCATAACCTGTTGTGATGTGAGTGTAGCTGTGGTGTTAAGACAAAGATTGCCTTCACCGGCAGGGTGGCCCATGGATCAGTAGCTACATCGCGACAACCATAACCTGTTGTGATGTGAATGTAACTGTGGAGTTGAGACAAAGATTGCCTTCACCGGCAGGGTGGCCCATGGATCAGTAGCTACATCGCGACAACCATAACCTGTTGTGATGTGAGTGTAGCTGTGGTGTTGAGACAAAGATTGCCTTCACCGGCAGTGTGGCCCATGGATCAGTACATCGCGACAACCATAAAGTGTTGTGATGTGAGTATAACTGTGGAGCTGAGACAAAGTTTGCCTTCACCGGCAGGGTGGCCCATGGATCAGTAGCTACATCGCGACAACCATAACCTGTTGTGATGTGAGTGTAACTGTGGAGCTTAGACAAAGATTGCCTTCACCGGCAGGGAGGCTCAAAGATCAGTACATCTAGCGACATCCATAACCTGTTGTGATGTGAGTGTAGCTGTGGAGTTGAGACAAAGATTGCCTTCACCGGCAGGGTGGCCCATGGATCAGTACATCGCGACAACCATTACCTGTTGTGATGTGAGTGTAACTGTGGAGCTGAGACAAAGATTGCCTTCACCGGCAGGGTGGCCCATGGATCAGTACATCTGGCGACATCCATAACCTGTTGTGATGTGAGTGTAACTGTGGAGTTGAGACAAAGATTGCCTTCACCGGCAGGGTGGCCCATGGATCAGTAGCTACATCGCGACAACCATAACCTGTTGTGATGTGAGTGTAGCTGTGGTGGTTTTCTTGTCTGTATTTAAATCTCTCAACGAACTGAACGTATCAATTATGAAGGCGGTGTGAAAGAAAGTCAGTGTGGGACAGGCGATATGTTTACTTTTGCGTAGACATGTTTATCCTTGCCTTCTGTCATTTTCTTTCGCAAGCAGTGCAATTTGTATAACATAATTAGATTTTCATATAAACAGATAAAGTATAAAAATGTTCGCCGTCCATTTATAAAAACATTTTACAACCAGCGCACTGTTTCAAAGATGTATGGAAAATACACGAGAAATTAAAAGGCAAAATGTTAAACTAAGAACTCAATGTTTATTTTAGCAACTGCTTGTACCATTCACTACAATGAATTGATAACAAACAAATGAAATGCACAGATGACATGCACGCAAACAACCAATCATAGTTCGCATTTTATTTAAAACTGCAACTAAAATATGAGGTACCAAGAGGCAGCTGAACGGCCTGTTGCCCAGACTCCATTGAAACAGAGAATCTACTCTCAGAAGAATACCGATTGTATTCCTGAAGAAAAAATGAGTCAGCAAAGATTTCGTGTCCCTGGAGATATTATTTAGTTCACTTCCCATTATTCTGTCCTTATCAAAGACTAATTCTGTCATTTTATACAAACAAAACAAACATCAGTGACAGAGAAGACTATCATTTAAAAAAAAAAAGGCTACTAACAGTTCTGGTTTTATGAACACTTTCCTCCTGAAAGCCAACATCAGGTCACAGACAATACCATGACAACACATTGTTAGACTACATATTGGACGGGCTTGCTTTACTGTGAAGGGAGATACCTGCAAACTATGCAGAAATAAAATAATGGACACAGCTGATCTGCACAAAAACAATAAATAGCTTCCCTGGTACATTAATTCAAGTATTAAAAAATCCACTAACAAACAATAATGAATATAGTCTAAAGAATCATTATATCTTCTCTGTCTTAACCATAACCTCATGGTGTGCCAAAAGTAATATTTAAAATAATAACAAGAAAATAAACGATATACCGACTAAACATAAATGATTAAAAGAGCATAATATAATAAAATTAAACGTGTGTGAATATATATATATATATATACACACACACACACACATATATATATATATATATATATATATATATATATATATATATATATATATATATATATATATATATATATATACATACATAAACACAAAATGAAAATATTTTAAATCTTTGGTTTTCTCTCCTGCCCTGACATCTCTGTGAAGAACAAGCCAATAGAGACACAGACATGAATTACTCTGTGATGACGTCAGGTTTCCAGTCTTGCTTTAATACTTCATTTAACTCTTTGGCGTACAACTCCAGTCTCTGAGTCACCTTGAACAAACAGAAACAAAAATCAATGTATGTGATGTCAGCAAAGACACTGAGATATTTGACTTTGTGCAACTGCTGGAGTTGACGTTACCTTGGAGTGGCTCCATGTTGGACCACATGAGACACCTCCGATCCTCCTGAGCCTGGAGTCGACCCTGCATCCGTACGACACCCAGCAGAAATGTATGTTATGCTATTTCTCACCAGATTGTATCATTGTTCCCAGCAGGATCAAAGTCTAGCATTCATTGGCCTCTTTTCCAGGACAATGATGAATTGTATATAAGAATCTACATCATAGCACTCAGGACACTCCCATAAGCACTTTGTTCCCATTTTCAGCATCAAGTGAAGAGTTCCAATTCCGATGGCACCAGTAACTGTCTGACTGTATATCCGTCTCGTTTTTCCTCTGAGTGTTGAGCGTCTTGCCAGATTCCATGATTCTGATGATGCCAGATTCCCTGATTCTGATGATGCCAGACTCTCCATGACCGCATTAATGGACTATTTCATAGGACAGAATTTGGATTGTAGCTGTTCTGGTGTTCAACAGTTTCTATGACAACAGTTCGCCAACTACAGGCATACACTGACTAAATATTAGCCTAACTATTTTATTCTCATCCGTTCAAGCACTTACCCTAAATGACCACTGGTCATTGACTTGTCTGCAAAGATTCAGGTCAACCTCAGAAATGACTATTCCATCTTTTGTTCGCGAAAGTCCCTATAGAAAATCAGAATAGTCAATAAAATATATTGATTGCATTAGTATGTAATTTATACATAATGATGTTTCAAAACAGTGACCCCAAAGTCTTTCATCTTTTATCAACAAAATGTTTAAAAACATTGCAAGCCTTCATACTCATAAATCATCAATTTGCTCAATACAATTTCCTCTTGTGTCTACATCAAATAGTCATCAATTTGGTAATGCTATTATCTGCGACCAGTTCACAAAATGGCTCGCCAGTAGACGACTTTGTCGCCAGTCAGGATACTATTTGGGTCTGTCTCTGGAGATCACATCAAGGTCTACTTGGTGGCCAGCAATTCTAAGCCGTTTTATAGGGCGTACAAAAACATGGTCTCAATTATAACCTCAAGCTCCCTCTTTGGGGATGCGGACAATGTTTTTTTTCTTCAAAAAAGCAGCCAGCCATCGATGTCATTACTTCACTCTTAAAATCACCAACAATCAATGATTTGGCAATCACTGTGTCTGCTGAATCCCATCCTTATCTTTATATGTTCCCTTAAATTTTGTATTTTGTCAGAACACACTCAAGAAATTTGCAATATTCAATGATCGCAACTACTTTTATAATAATGTTTTCAAGGTAATGTACTGGCAAATTTCTGTCGAAGATATTTCTTCATTGGCATCTCCTACAAAACCTTATGGTACTTTAAAAAAAGTTTTTTTTAAGGAGATATAATTGAAATTGTATCTTATGTTTTGTCTCAGACTATAACAAAAACAAATGACTAATAGATGGTGTCACTACTTACAGGAGTTCTGCTTCCATCAGGTGCTGTGACATAACTGGAACCTGTATGACAAAGTGATTCAGTATAGTTTACCAAATGTGACATTAGATCTGTTTGTCAACGTCACAGTTATAGGAGGCAGAATGATTGATTTGGGTTTTTATGTTTACAATGGCATTGTTAGTCATGACTTCAATAGATATTTGGAGGGGTTTAATTGATTCAACATTATTACACAGTATAATGTTTATACAGTGATATTTCCTTAATAAACATAAACTGACTGTTACACTAATGAAATAAGACAAATATTACGATGCAAGGTGATAATGAGAGACCTAAAGTCTAAACTGATGGTGAAGAGCTGGAGACAGCTGACCATTTTGCATATATAGAATCCACAGTAGATAATATTTATGAATGTATGTGTATGTATGTATATATATATATATATATATATATATATATATATATATATATATATATATATATATATATATATATATATATATATATATATATATATATATGCTGCTTCCAATATTGAGCAAAGACTGCTAATACTTCTATTCTACGGTCTGGCCATCCTCACTGTCAGTGCTACCCAGATTGAACGACTCGAAAAGGTGCAAAATGAAGCCATGCGCATTATTTTGGGATGTACTAGAGACACATCCTGTGGAGCAATGAGGTATCTACTTGACTTTCCAACAATGAATCAAAGGATCAGGATGTGGAGGGCTCGGGCATATCTCAAAATATGCGCTGATAAGAAACACCCACTGCATCAAGCGCTTTTTAGTGAAAGGGGCGACAGACTGAAGAGGGGGAAATCGTGACTAGGTCGGGCAGAAGATGTTATTAGGCAAATATGCAGCCTAACCGACATCATACCTGGTGCAGAATGGATACCTGTGCCTCAGGCGTTTATTTGTACATTTTCCTGTATTGTCACACTCAACAGGCGATGCAGAGAAGAGAATCCTGTTGCTGTTAATGCAGAGGTCAACGCTCTCATCGGTGAAAATTCAGACGAAGCAGATGCAATAATCTATACAGACGGATCCGTTATACGCCAAAGAAGAAGCGCAATGGGCATTTACAGCACGCTCAGCGGGCAGAACAGTCAAAGAAGCCAACGGCGCCTTCTCCATGACAACCAGCAGCATGACGATGGAGGTGATGGCAGTGACACAAGCGCTTGCCTGGCTTGAAACACAAAAATACACCCGCGTGTGTATACTCAGTGATTCAATGAGTATGATCCGGAGGGTTCAGGCAGGTTCAGTGCGAAGACAATGGCTTGAATCATTACAGAAGTCCACTGTTCGTGAAGTCACCTTTATTTTTGTTCCGGGACACGCAGGCGTCGATGGAAATGAAAGAGCTGACAGGTTGGCTGGATCCGCTATTACTACCGACGGTCAGCCTATGGATCATGCTGATATTATCAATGCCCTCAGAGAAATGGGAAGGATAGAGGACTTTGGTGGCAGTGAATCCACATCACTCGCCAGAATGGCAAAAAACGAGACGCACACCAGCTACGCCAGAAGACTTGTTAATCAACATAGAACTGGTACTATTAGCCATCGGACGTTGGGGTTAATACTGAGGGGAGGATCTGAGCACCTATGGACATGTCCGGAGTGCAATGAGGATAACCCAGCTAACTAACTAACTAACTAACTAACTATATATATATATATATATATATATATATATATATATATATATATATATATATATATATATATATATATATATAAATACGAGGAGGCGTAAAAAAGGTAACAAATTATATACACTTCTCATTCTTCAATTTATTTACATAAAGCTAGCGTTTCACTATGCATATCATTTTTCCCTGTTGTCTGGAATGTTCTACATCAGTCTGGCATGTCTGCTGCTTTCCACACCTTGTGGTCTGAAATATTCTTCATCAGTCTGTCGTGTCTGCTGGTCTGCATATCCTGTTGTCTAAAACGTTCTACATCAGTTTGTCGTGTCTGCTGATCTGCACACCCTGTGGTCTGAAATGTTCTACATCAGTCTGTCGTGTCTGCTGATCTGCACACCCTGTGGTCTGAAATGTTCTACATCAGTCTGTTGTGTCTGCTGATCTGCACACCCTGTGGTCTGAAATGTTCTACATCAGTCTGTCGTGTCTGCTGATCTGCACACCCTGTGGTCTGAAATGTTCTACATCAGTCTGTCATGTCTGCTGGTCTGCATACCCTGTGGTCTGCAGTGACAATTTAAGAGGTCTGTAATACAGTTACTCCCCCCCTGAATTTATGTATAAGCTAAATAAGTTACAGCTTAGGGACTCAAAATCTGTAGGGAGCTCAACTAACCCCTAATCGCCCCCCCCCCCACCCAATTTTTTTTTTGGTAATCTTAATATATTGTAAATACAATTTTCTTTTGATAAAGATATTTTTTACAGCATATGTAATTGCAAATACGTTTTTTATTATTTCGTTCACTAACAATTAAATGACAAAATATTTGCATTCTCCACAGATTTAAAAAGCTTTATGACGTGTTCAAGTCTTCAGAGATTAGTTTGTGTCATTTGAAATGGTAGGGGCCTCAGAGCTTTATATAGCTTAAGACTTAACCACGTCTAAACCCTGCCCTGCAGAAAACGTAAATTTTTTAAATATATAAATATTATAAGGTGTAACACTGTGCATGTGGCGGCTGTGGCCTAGGTGTTGCGAGTCCGACTCAAAATTCCAACATACCGTGATCGAAACCTACTGCTGGCTGCATGGATTTCTATCATGGTATCGTTCGTCGCAGGTCGACCCAGCCTAAAATGGGTACCAAGCTGTATGTTCTGAGGAAGTAAAGACTGCCGGCATAATGCTGATCACATTACCCACCTAGTACCGAATGGTCTGTAAAAATATGGGTGCTCTTCCCATATGCCCGATGCGCCTAATCCGTAAAAAGGGATCTTTACTTTTTTACTTTACTCATCATTGTGTATAACTATTTACAAGAATAATCTCCATGATACACCATCACAAATATTATGATGCATCTGAAAGTCTGATCTAACTGTGGACTTTTGGGCTAGATGATTTTAAAGATATTTAGTTTAAAAGCACTATAAGTAACTTAAAAACTACTGAAATATGATCAGTAATTTTTGGTAATATTTATGTGTCAGAGATTTGGAGAAAAATGACTGAAAAACCTTTAAAATAAAAAAGTGTGCCCATCAAGTATTGTCAGTCAGGTTTCATTTGCTGCTACTTTCTAAGTCTAGTTATAAATGTGCACCTGAAAGCACATCAAATTGTCACAAAACAAAAACAGACACAGATGAAAGCACATCAGGATGTCACAAAACAAAAACAAGACACAGATGAAAGCACATCAAGATGTCACAAAACAAAAACAAGACACGGATGAAAGCACATCAAGATGTCACAAAACAAAAACAAGACACAGATGAAAGCACATCAAGATGTCACAAAACAAAAACAAGACACAGATGAAAGCACATCAAGATGTCACAAAACAAAAACAAGACACAGATGAAAGCACATCAAGATGTCACAAAACAAAAACAGACACAGATGAAAGCACATCAAGATGTCACAAAACAAAAACAAGACACAGATGAAAGCACATCAAGATGTCACAAAACAAAAACAAGACACAGATGAAAGCACATCAAGATGTCACAAAACAAAAACAAGACACGGATGAAAGCACATCAAGATGTCACAAAACAAAAACAAGACACAGATGAAAGCACATCAAGATGTCACAAAACAAAAACAGACACAGATGAAAGCACATCAAGATGTCACAAAACAAAAACAAGACACAGATGAAAGCACATCAAGATGTCACAAAACAAAAACAAGACACAGATGAAAGCACATCAAGATGTCACAAAACAAAAACAAGACACGGATGAAAGCACATCAAGATGTCACAAAACAAAAACAAGACACAGATGAAAGCACATCAAGATGTCACAAAACAAAAACAAGACACAGATGAAAGCACATCAAGATGTCACAAAACAAAAACAAGACACAGATGAAAGCACATCAAGATGTCACAAAACAAAAACAGACACAGATGAAAGCACATCAAGATGTCACAAAACAAAAACAGACACAGATAACACGAACAGACTTACCATAGAAAAGTCCTAGATCTCTGTGAGCTGTTTTAGAAATACAGCAGAAATGTTACAGATGTGAAATATTACCAGAAAATAAAGGAAAAATTGAAAATACTTATCCTCCTCCACTATTATAAACATTTCTGAAAAAAAAATCACGCTGATGGTTCATGTAGTATTTTCTTTGCAGTAAAGAACTCTCCTCATAACATGCCAGATAGACTTTGGATTTTTGGCCATGTTCCTGCCTCTAAATTCCCACGGCCATTTTGTTTTTGAGGTAATGTTTTTGTGCTGGTCAGACCCGCCTTTTCTTCCAGAAACACTGCTTTCAGTTTCTGGCACATAATCTCTGACAAGCACAGCCCAGCCTCTGGCACATAATCTCTCACAAGCACAGCCCAGCCTCTGGCACATAATCTCTGACAAGCACAGCCCAGCCTCTGGCACATAATCTCTGACAAGAACAGCCCAGCCTCTGGCACATAATCTCTGACAAGCACAGCCCAGCCTCTGGCACATAATCTCTGACAAGAACAGCCCAGCCTCTGGCAGATAATCTCTGACAAGCACAGCCCAGCAACTGGCACATAATCTCTGACAAGCACAGCCCAGCCTATGGCACATAATCTCTCACAAGCACAGCCCAGCCTCTGGCACATAATCTCTGATAAGCACAGTCCAGCCTCTGGCACATCATCTCTGACAAGCACAGCCCAGCCTCTGGCAGATAATCTCTGACAAGCACAGCCCAGCCTCTGGCAGATAATCTCTGACAAGCACAGCCCAGCCTATGGCAGATAATCTCTTACAAGCACAGCCCAGCCTCTGGCAGATAATCTCTGACAAGCACAGCCCAGCAACTGGCACATAATCTCTGACAAGCACAGCCCAGGCTATGGCACACAATCTCTGACAAGCACAGCCCAGCCTATGGCACATAATCTCTCACAAGCACAGCCCAGCCTCTGGCACATAATCTCTGATAAGCACAGTCCAGCCTCTGGCACATCATCTCTGACAAGCACAGCCCAGCCTCTGGCAGATAATCTCTGACAAGCACAGCCCAGCAACTGGCACATAATCTCTCACAAGCACAGCCCAGCCTCTGGCACATAATCTCTCACAAGCACAGCCCAGCCTCTGGCACATAATCTCTCACAAGCACAGCCCAGCCTCTGGCACATAATCTCTCACAAGCACAGCCCAGCCTCTGGCACATAATCTCTCACAAGCACAGCCCAGCCTCTGGCACATAATCTCTCACAAGCACAGTCCAGCCTCTGGCACATCATCTCTGACAAGCACAGCCCAGCATCTGGCACATAATCTCTGACAAGCACAGCCCAGCATCTGGCATATCATCTCTGACAAGCACAGCCCACCCAGCCTCTGGCACATAATCTCTGACAAGCACAGCCCAGCCTCTGGCACATAATCTCTGACAAGCACAGCCCAGCCTCTGGCCTCTTTGTGGTGGAACTGTGGATACTAACAAATCTGCCGTGTACACCAAAATTACTCCAAAAAGGTGAATCTCACCAGCAGTGGGAAGCGTGTCACTTTTTTTAGGAGTATTTTTGATTTCAAGTTGTCTTTTCTGTTAAAAAATTATTAGGCTGTGTTGCAGAAAGCAAATTTGCTGGACAGACATTCTAATTTTAAACTGGTGTATCATAACTGCATATACATGAGAATAAAACATAATTTATAAATTAACTTACTTTTTGAAACTAGGTTTAATAATCTACAGATGTTTTATGACCTCAGTTGTACAGCTACCTATCTTCACATATGTAACATACATTTTAAAATAAAATAGAAAATCTACCTGGTTTTCCGTCACCTGATGTGAATTCATTTGGAAAGACTTCCTAGAAACAAAATATGTAATATAACAAAATGGTGGTAATTGCAAGTAAAGCATATATCTATTAAAAAATCAAGTATGTTCTGAAAAAACCAGCCAGGCTTCAACATACACTAGGTAAGGCTAAATGTCGACGTATATGCCAAATAAGTTGCCGATACTGTCAAACATGGCTTTTTTCCTGGTCGTACGCAACAGTACACTGTAAAGGCTCCCATTTTTATTTTTTTTTAATTTTTCCAGTGCCATTTTAAAAATACTGTGGGGTAAGTACCGGCACCACTTTACGGTAAGTACCGGCACCACTTTGTGTGTGCGTGTGTGTGTGAAAAAAATGCCCTTCTGTAAATTATAGGCATAAAACATGACCTTGAACACAGAGTGGGAATTGCTTTAGCAGTTGACTCTTACATTAATCCACACATAGAAATACGTGGAATACATTCAGTTTACTAGCAGGGAAGACTTTTGTTCACAACATTTGTTCACCACTCAGTCAATGGCGATGTTCCCAACACAACACTTATTCACCACCCAGTCAATGCCGATGTTCCCAACACAACATTTGTTCACCACCCAGTCAACAGTTATGCCAAATAACACAGGAGATAAAATGCATCGCTGTCTCACTCCAGTTTCAACTGCACACCAATCACTGAAACCATCATCTGTTTGCACTGCACACCCTGAACCTCCATACTCTCCCTTAATAGTATTTATTATTTTCATTGGTGTACCACAGCATTCCAAAATCCCTCATGGTGATGATTTATGTGAACTATTAAAAGCCTTCTCTATTTTTTTTTCCAAAAAATTTCTCAGAAATAACTTCCCTCTTACAGCCTGAAATTGTGTGTGTGTGTGTGTCTTAAAGCAGACACGGTATTGCATGAAGAACAGAAAAACATTAAAATCAGTTCTAATTAAAAGCTTGAAAATTCCAGCATTCCTACCAAATTCAGTTTGTCTGTTGCAAAGTATTTTTAAAAGAACAACATATGCCTGGAGGCATTCCACGAGTAGAGAAAAGAAAAGAAGAAGAACAAAACTTACAGTTCCAACCCTGTTGATTGCACAAGAACAAAACTTACAGTTCCAACCCTGTTGATTGCACATGTAAAGTAGCTGTTTGCTATTGCTGCATTTCTTGCTAGAATTGGCCAAGCAGGTTCGCTGAAATTAGAACAGGTTTATCAATTACCTACAATATCAGGACAGGAAAGTTGCCCTGGAGACAACATTAATAAATCCCCAAGCGAGAAGAGCAACAGAACACACACAACCACTTAACCAAAACAGTGATTAACACACTGTTGACTGAATCAGATGGTAAGAATCGAAGACTGAATTGTGCAAGAAAAAAAAGGTCGAGAACTTAACCTGCATAAGCCCTGATAGAATAGGTGGTTACTTTTGAATGTAGTCAATTTAGTGTTTCAGACAGTAGGACTCATTTATTTGCTTCTTTTAATCAATTGTTCCTGTAGTATGAACCTAACGGTATACACTGAAATATGCCTGGCAATCAATTGTACAAAAAAAATTTTTTTTGTGTATCTTGTTCCAAGTCCCTATGGAGAAACATTGATTTGAATTACTTTTTATCATTACTTCTGTAACTTACTAATCACATTAAGATAATATACAGCGAGTGGTAGAAAAGATTATATGATATAAAGGTCCCTAGATCATGAGATTATTTAACAAGTACCACATCATGATACAATGATTAACAGTGACTGTTATATAGTGCAGTTAACAGAGAACTATCATCATTTAGCAGGTCCTTTGCAGAACTCCGCTCTCATCACAGTCTGTCTGAAAGAAACTTGGTCCCTGACCAGCGCTCTCGCCTGGTGTACTTTCATTTTCAAGCAGTCATTTATATCCTGTGCCCACCTCCGTGTTGGTTGGCCCCTGCCTCTCCTTTCTGATGCAATGTCTTCTGCTGTTATATTTTCCAGTCTGCCATAGCGCTTGATATCACTAAAAATTTCAACTTCCGAGACAGAGTATACTAATATGAGTTATTGAATCTTTTGATAAATAGCATAGATATCCGCTTCACAAACAAACAAACAAAAACACTTTCAAATCTGCTGAGAAACATTGTTATTTTACAGCTTTCCAGTCTGACATCTAGTTTGAGAATGGAGGTGGAAGCAGTAATAGCAGCTTTCTGCTGGTTAAGAACCAACTGCACATACATCGTAATGTAATTGACACACACCGTATTTTAAGAAAAAAGTTGAAACAGGCATGCTCCATTCAGAGTTGCAAGAATCGCTTCAGAAGTCCTTGGTAGTTAGTGTTTTTCAGACATTTTCTCAAGGGTATACAAGAGTGTTGGGAAATGTACAGGCGGACAGACTGACTGGTTCTGCACCACTGGATAGTGAAGGTATGCATGACAAGCTAGAGGTGGTAAAGTCCTTTCGGGAGCAAGTGAACAAGGCAGTGGCACAAATAGATCAGTTTGGTCTGGAGAAAAGGGTACAGCTAGGAGTCGTCAGGGGATCTGGTCAAAACTCTACACTCTAAGAAAAAGCATGATGGAAATATAATCAGACTGCGTTTGTCACCACTGGAATTGGAAGTTTTTGATGGAGCACTTAAGAGAATGTCCTGAGTACTGTGATGTCGGCTCTTAGCTCATGCTGTGCAGCAAAACCCATAGAAAGTGGTCAAATTTAAAAAAAAAAAAAAAAAAAAATTAAATCCACACAAAAATGAAACGAAACGTAAAGTGTTAGGTCTAAATAAATTGTTGGTCATAGCATGATGAGGTGGGATAACCAGATGGCTTTCTCTTTTCTAAAATCATTGGTACCTCTGTTACCAGGAAGGGCCAAACGTTGCTGGCTGGAAACAATCCAGGCCTTCCACAGCAGCAACTGAACCCTATTCCAATTCGCTAGTAAACTAATCCCTTTGCTGTCATGGCATTTCTTCTTCTTCTTCTTCTGCCTTTTTATTCCCCAATGGAGCATAGGCCCTCAACCAACTGGCGCCAAGTCGTTCTATCCTTCACCATTGCATGGAGCTCTCCCCATGTCCTCCCCATCTTCCTAACTTCCTTCTCCAGCTCCCTTCTCCATGTATTTTTTTGTTGTTGTGTGGCCTTCCTTTATTCCTATCCTCCTGTGGGTTCCAATGCAAAGACATTCTTGTTGACCTACTTTAGTGACCTACTTTAGTCATGGCTCTAAACAAATGAAAATCAGTGCAATGTATTCTGCACATAAACTGAATGTATTCCATGTATTTCTTTGTGCAAGATAAAAGTCTTGCCCTAATTCTGAGATCGTGTACCTACTGGCAGCAGTTCTTATACAAACTAACCTCAGCTGCGCAATAGTTGCTGAAGGGTTGAAGACAATTTCTGCTCCATTTATTCCATACAACATCCAGTTCTGGGGATGAAGATGGCCAAAGCACAGGTTGATGGCAATCTTTCCTGTTGATTGATACAAATAATATTAATTAGTAAAATTTAGCATAAAGTCTTGCAATAATTCTTGCATCGGTTATAGATTTACAGTTATTACGTTGCTCTAAGACTGTCAACAGACCAACTGATACATGCTATTGGAGACTGCAACAGGTGAAGAGACCAGTCAGCCATGAGGCTGCATGTAAGCATTTTATAAATACTGAATAACACAGGTGAATGTGACTGTCGACGCAGACATATTCACAGAACCTGTGACGACCACCCACACAACTTGAATATGACTATCTCTATTGAGGCTGTTAAAATCTTGCTGGGTAACTCACATTCACAATACACCGTCTCAGAAATATCAGTCGCACACACAGTCAACTCCTTTCTAAGCATCTTCTAGATCCAATGTAAAAGTGATTATCTCTTGCTTTCACTGGAGCTCTCTTAACATTGTTTAGTCAAATATATAGGAATCAGCAATCATCTCATTAATATTTGCAAAAGCCTGTACACACGTAGTAAATGCTGCATAAGATCGAAGTCAGGATTGTCCAGAACTTTTATAGTGAACTCTGGTGTTCGTCAGGGCTGTGTACAATCGCCACTTCTTTTTATAACATACATGGATACCATATGATAGGAAACGAACTTTAATCATGAAGAAGATATTACAAAATTACTTTTCGCCGACGACAAGGTACTCATAGCAGAAAATACGGAATGCCTACAGAACCACCTAAATCAAATTAGTAACAAAGGGGAGGAATATAATATGAAAATAAACACTACGAAGACAGAGACAATTATGATAGGAAGACATAAAGACAATTTAGAAATTAAATTAAAAAACAACACACTGAGACAAACAGAGGAATTTAAGTATTTGGGAGCAATTTTTACATGCTACGGAAAACTGGACAGAGAAATTAGCTCCAGATGTGCCAAAGCTAATCAAGTAATGGGTCAACTATCTCCCCTGTTGACACACAAGCAGATACCTCGGAGTACTAAAATGAATCTTATCAGAAATATTTTTTGGCCGACACTATGATATCAGTGCCAAACGTGGACACTTACATCCTTCAATGAACGTAAAATTGTGACAACAGAAATAAAATGCCTTAGAAGAGCTGCAGGAGTTTCAAGGAAAGAAAGAATATGAAATCAGACGAATGCTAGAAATAAAGCCAGTCTTACAGGTCATCAAAGAACAACAAATGAAGTGGTTTGGACACCTAACAAAAATTCCCTGGTACTATCCGCCACAGCGAGCCACACTAAAACGTTACAACGGGTATAGAGCGAGTGGAAGACCTCGGAAAATATGGAGTGATGGCACTAAGAACAGCCTTACAGAATAGAAATGAACATCAGTCTTAAAAGTGCTCTTGACAGAGCTCATCAACGAACATTACATCTCCCCCCGACACTTCGATGAGGAACAAGGTGGAAGAGAAGAAGAAGAAGAAGAAGAAGGAAGAAGAAGAAGTCAAATATACAATAGACAGCAGTGTATGTGCATGTGTGTGTGTCTGGCATGCATATGTGTGTGTTTGGTACATGTGCGTGAGGGAGGTGTGTATATACATGTGAGTGGGGGAGGTGTGTATATACATGTGAGTGAGGGAGGTGTGTATATACTATACTCATACTATGAACCTTTTTCTATGTACAGGAAACTCACCAAATTGAGTTTGAAAGACTTTGTGTCCTGTTTCCCCCTCCATGTAATATGAGGACTGTTGATAAACAAGCAAGAGAGAAAACGTCATTTATCTGACTACACTAACATCACCATGGCAACTGTGCTTCCCAAAATGTATAACCATAGGAAAACAAACTACACAGCAAATAAACCAAAAGAAGCCATTTATAATGTTTATATTTCACTTCAATAATATTATTTTGTTGAAAGGTACTCACCAGCAACCTGCTTTACTGAAGAAATCACGCAAATTGGAAACTTTCATCTCAAATAGTTTTACTCTAAACACAATATTTCATTTATACAACAATCATGTTTCTTTAAACACATGTTACAAAATAACACGTCTTCTTCTTCTTTTTTCTTCTCTGGTCCTGTTCTGCCTGTCAGCGTCAGGTTGTAAAGATGCTACTATTATGTCTAAGAGACAGGGCTCTCTGTGGTGCACAATCTGGTGGTAGTCTTGACATATGACCAAACCATTTGATCTATTGTCCCTTAATGTTGTTAGTCCTGGTTCCACCCCAGCTTGTTTCCTGATGTCTTTTCATAACTTCTAGTTATTTTAGGATTCATCGCAGACAGTACATTTCTGTTGTTTTTAGTCTTTTTTAAATTTTGTTGTTAGGCACTGGTAATTCAGTGTTGATAAAAAGACTTCACTATAACATTTGGTCTGCAAAAATTGTGACATCTGTGCAATAATTTGATTGACTTCATTACATCTGTGGTTTATCTCTGCTTTCATTTGTTCATGACGATATTCTGCTCGCTAGATACTTGAAGTCTTCTACTTGCATGAGCTGCTGTTGTTCTATGCATATCTCGACTGGTTGTTCAGTTCTTACAATGATCATAATTTCTGGGGGTGGGGGGGGGGGGGTGTTCAGTTTTAATTTTCATGTTTTTTTTTTTCTATTCTGAGATTATTCAGGTATCTCTGCATCTGTTTCTCTGTAGTTTCCACAAGAACTTGGTCGTTTGAGAAAAAAAAATGATTTCATTGCAATTATTGCCCTCGTTAATTTCAGATGCTTTATTGATTGTATCTATCATCATCATCAGATGCTTTGCCTATTGGCTTAGGCGATCACGCCTCTCTACAATTCGCGATCTCCTGCAGCATGTATCAGTTCGTGTGCTGACACACCTCCATGCCATGCAACAAGACTGTCAAGAATATTCTCTCGTTGTCTTCCTCTATCTCTCCTTCCACAGATCTTTCCAGTGGTCACAACATGTTGTATTTTCCCACTTTTTATAACATTGCCGAAAAAAAAAGATGACTGTCTCCTTCTGACGTGTGTGATTAGTTGTCTTCGGGCTCCTGCCTCTTTTAAAACCTCTTGGCAGCTCTTTTTCGCTGTCCAAGGTATTCTAAGCATTCTTCTGTAAAACCACATCTCTGAGGCCTCAAGAAATTGTTTGGCCTGCCTACCGATTGTCCAGCATTCACAGCCATATATAAAAAATTGGGTGTATTTAGCAAGCAAGAATTCTTTTTTAACCTCCAATGACAAAGATATATTGCATAAGATGTTCTTCATTTTATAAAATCTATAAATCTGATAAAAAGCGGGGTTGGGGTGGGGGAAGGGGGGGGGGGGGAGAACGCATCCTTGGCAGACTCCGGATTGTAAATTCAACTTTTTATGTCGTATGGCATTTCATCTCCTTGACTATTGCGATATATGTATATATTACCATATATTATTAGATACCGAATAACTGCAAAGTGCTCCATTCTACTTCTAAGTCTAGCCTGGGTTCGAAGAATCTCAGTGCAGTGCATGAACTCCGTAGCACCGGCGAGAGTCCTGAAATACTTTGAGTAGATTTTTAACTCAAAATTTTGCCGGGGCAGCGCTGTTAGGTTACTCTTTTCGATTTTCAACTGTAAACGTGCACAGCAATATACACGGGCGTCGGATCTTGCTACCAAGAGACCAGGGGAAATTACTAGAAGTTCACATTAAAAAAAAAATCCCAAAATTCATAATGGTTTTGAACGCGGGACCTCCAGCATTCAAGGCGGACGCCATGCTCCGAAACCACTCAGCCCCCCTCCCCCCCAAACCCCCCCCCCCCGGACAAGACCTATATTTGATAGAGCAACTGGCACTTGATGGCTGATGTGGTCAACATAACGCTGGCTGCCTTTACTTCCCAGGACGTTACCTGGTGCCCACTCAAGGCTTGGTCGACCAGTTAATTTTGTTTAGGCCTGGAAAAAAACCCACTTACTAATCCTTAATTTTGGGTAACATATAATAAAAGTCTCGACAACAATACAAATAGTAAGGTTCATTAAAAAAACAGTAATATTATTATATGAGACTCTAATTATTCTGACATTTGTGTGTGTATACCTCATTAAAATCTCCAACTCTAGGTATATGGTTCTTCCTGGATTTTCCTAGTACTTGTCCTGTGTTGGAAATTACCACTGAAAGAAAGGAAAAAACAAATAGTTTCAAAATCAACAAGTCAGAAAATAAGTGGCAGCATATTTTTTTTTTTAGCAAATAAAAAAAAACATTTTTTGTAGGTCAATAAACTAAAGCTTGATTTGACCTGATTCAAGAGCTAGCTTAACAGCACTCTGGGCATTTCCCTAAGCACTACACCCCCATCTTCAGCAGCCAGCGAAGAGTTCCAATACCAATGGTGCCTTAGCAGTTTGATTATGTGTCCGTCTTGCCTTTCCTCTGAACGTCGAGTATCGACCAGGGCCCCTAGTCACTCCTCGCAGATTCACTCTCACCAGACTGTGATGATCCATTTGCTGTTCCAAACTGACCACGTTTTTCCATAAGGCCTTAACCATGTCTGCCTTACCATGCATCAATATTCCACCACGTTATGCAGAGCCAGCCAATCTTTCCGATTGTTCGTTTCCCAACACACCGGCACACCATGAGAAAAGATCCAGTGTTCTTCACCTTTGACTGAAGTCTGTGTTTTTTACTGTACAACATTTTATAACAATTCCAATCAAATGACTGGACAACTTTTACACACATCCATAAACACTGCACACACAAAATGCCATAAACGGTTGCAGCCTACCAGCAGTGTTGGCCAGGACATCGCCTCGTTCTTCATCACGTTCCAAAATGGGAGAAACAATAACCATGTTGTGCCGAACAGCAAGCTGTTATATAAAAAGAAGTCATCAGATTGTAAAAAAAGAAATTAACACTGCCCATAAAAAAAATATAAAATGAAGACAAAATATTGAGCACTTCAAGTTATACTCCATCAAAAAACATCTATAAGAACTTATAAGGATCTAGCTAAAACCCATAAAGCAACAGACAAACCTAGTAGATACAGTACTTGAAGACTGACTGTGTGACTGACTTTCAACTCCACAAGAACAGCACAATAAGTGGTAAACACCCAGTGACACAAAGTGCCACCATTGGGATAAAAATCCCCAGATGATAATCAACAAACTTGTCACACAAGATCTGCATATGGCTGCTGCGGCAAACATGCTTAAAAAAAAATTGAACCCATCACTAATAAAAACCAACACTCTGACTTCCAATGTGCGGAACAAAAATGTAGCAGATGGTAACAGGTGCCCGTCTTCTGAAATGTGCAATCAATCATAGAGATAGACAGATTTCTGAGATACCAGAAGATTTCTGCCCTTTGCCGTAGAGTAAGAAACCTGTGAATTTGACAGAAGCACAGTAATGAAAATACCTGCAATATGAACTTCACAGAAAAGCACTAATTGTTATATATCTACATGTGACAGTGAAAAACTTGTATGCACAGATGTCTCTAGAAATGTGCATGGAAAATTCAAGCAATTATTAACCAGAACCAAGGGCCATATACTGAAAGTGTCAGAGAATTTGTAAAAGTGTTCTGCCAGACTACCGAGGATGATGAATAAATTAAATTAGTATAAAACATGACATGACAGGAAACACGACAGCTACAACTGATGTATGTTCACGTCAGTGGCAGATACAGTTAGAATTTAGGTGTTGTGTATCAAGTATAATACTGTTACCCTAATGATGTTAACCAGATTATACATCAATGGCTGATTTTTTTGCACATATTTGTCTAGCCTCATTATATTCTATACACCAATGGTTTGAAAAGGATCTTTAATAACAGTGCTTATTGTGTGCCGTTTATTTATTTTTTTCCAATGTATATCATACTTTGTATCTATGGGCAATCAGTTTTCTTTGTGAGTCAGTTTCATTACTCTTTTTATCTGTCCAGGGTATTCTCATCATTCGTCTATAAAACCACATCTCCGCAGCATCCAGATAAGTTTTCAATAATTTACATACTATCCATGACGTGACTTAATGTGATTCACATATTCCTCAGAATTACCATGTAACCAGCTAAGTCTCGGGCTCATGACTTACCAACCTTCCGACCACGTCTGGAGACACTGTTCGAGTGAGTCCTGCTGACAGGATCATTGATTTCCAAACGCTGGCCAGTACTGTGGTCCAATCGCTTTATGCTGCAGGTGCATTAAGTTTAATTAAGTGTTCTGACTTAACGGGCACAGTTAAGAAGTCTCTGATGTTCCAGGACTCTCGAGTCAGTTACCTATTATAGTGCATCTGTTGGCAGTTATAGTCTTTTGGCAAACAAGACCGAAATGGGTATTCCTTCAGACGTTGTTATGCCATGATGCTTTTTTTTTTTTTTTGCACCAGTTCGCTGTGGTTACCTGTGTCCACGATAATGGTTGGACACCGGCTTGTTTGCCAGCACTAAAGGGCTGTTATAGAAGCTTGTGGATATTTTGTTAGCAGCGTTCTTCGCTTCCCCGCCAAGTACAGTCCAGCTTAGACATCGGAACTCCATAACTGACGTATAGAACGAATCCAGTCTCCATATGAGACGACAGGGTGTCTCGGTCGGCATGCTGGAACCCACTTGTGCATGTCTTTGAAGCAAGAGTATTAATCTCATATTACTGAGCAACGGAATCTTGTGTTGATTAGGAGATAAATGTGGGCGTTCATCAACGGTTTTTAGTTATCATTAAATATGTCGGTCAGCAAATAACTTGTTTAGTGTCGTCTGTTGCAGTTGCAGTAATGTATAGTTGTAACTTGTGCGTACAAGGACTTGTTGGGACTCTAGTCATGTGTAATGTATAGTTGTAACTTGTGCGTACAAGGACTTGTTGGGACTCTAGTCATGTGTAATGTATAGTTGTAACTTGTGTGTACAAGGACTTGTTGGGACTCTAGTCATGTGTAATGTATAGTTGTAACTTGTGTGTACAAGGACTTGTTGGGACTCTAGTCATGTGTAATGTATAGTTGTAACTTGTGCGTACAAGGACTTGTTGGGACTCTAGTCATGTGTAATGTATAGTTGTAACTTGTGTGTACAAGGACTTGTTGGGACTCTAGTCATGTGTAATGTATAGTTGTAACTTGTGTGTACAAGGACTTGTTGGGACTCTAGTCATGTGTAATGTATAGTTGTAACTTGTGTGTACAAGGACTTGTTGGGACTCTAGTCATGTGTAATGTATAGTTGTAACTTGTGCGTACAAGGACTTGTTGGGACTCTAGTCATGTGTAATGTATAGTTGTAACTTGTGTGTACAAGGACTTGTTGGGAATCTAGTCATGTGTAATGTATAGTTGTAACTTGTGTGTACAAGGACTTGTTGGGGACTCTAGTCATGTGTAATGTATAGTTGTAACTTGTGTGTACAAAGGACTTGTGTGGACTCTAGTCATGTGTAATGTATAGTTGTAACTTGTGTGTACAAGGACTTGTTGGGACTCTAGTCATGTGTAATGTATAGTTGTAACTTGTGTGTACAAGGACTTGTTGGGACTCTAGTCATGTGTAATGTATAGTTGTAACTTGTGTGTACAAGGACTTGTTGGGACTCTAGTCATGCTAATGTCCTAGTTTGTAAACTGTGTGTACAAGGACTTGTGGGACTCTAGTCATGTGTAATGTATAGTTGTAACTTGTGTTGCATTTAGTACAAGGACTGAGTTGGGATTCTAGTCATGTGTAATGTATAGTTGTAACTTGTGTGTTACAAGGACTTGTTGGGACTCTAGTCATGTGTAATGTATATGTTGTAACTTGTGTGTACAAGGACTTGTTGGGACTCTAGTCATGTGTAATGTAATAGTTGTAACTTGTGCGTACAAGGACTTGTTGGGACTCTAGTCATGTGTAATGTATAGTTGTAACTTGTGCGTACAAGGACTTGTTGGGACTCTAGTCATGTGTAATGTATAGTTGTAACTTGTGTGTACAAGGACTTGTTGGGACTGATAGTCATGTGTAATGTATTCATAGTCTGTAACCTGCTGTGTGTACAAGGACTTGTTGGGACTCTAGTCATGTGTAATGTATAGTTGTAACTTGTGTGTACAAGGACTTGTTGGGACTCTAGTCATGTGTAATGAGGTAGTTCCATACATCATAGCCTAGATACTCGTTTGACCAATTTAACTGTACTTGTTAGGGCCCTCATACCATAGACCAATGTATCGTAACAAGTGTTCAATATTGTTTATATTAATAATTTAAATCTGCCGGTTTTTAAAAAAATGCTAAACTAGATGTGTAAAAAAATTAAACTGACCTTTTGGAGAAGTTGTGTTGCTGGTCCATGCAGTGCCGACTCGGCAAACTCTGTCCATGGTAACTTCTCTCTTGTGCAGAATGCAAATGGCATGGCTGATGATTTAAAACAGGTTCTAAAACTTCTAAACATGTATACATGGCTGATGATTTAAAACAGGTTCTAAAACTTCTAAACATGTATACATGGCTGATGATTGGAAACAGACGCTAAAATCTGTATCCCTTTTTGTATTTATTTGTTTATTCTGAGTGTCGGGTCTGGTCTTGCAAACGTCAACTTAGTGTTCTCATGATCCCAGAGTCTTGTATTCAACATCAGGCAAACGTCAACTTAGTGTTCTAATGATCCCAGAGTCTTGTATTCAACATCAGGCAAACGTCAACTTAGTGTTCTAATGATCCCAGAGTCTTGTATTCAACATCAGGCAAACGTCAACTTAGTGTTCTAATGATCCCAGAGTCTTGTATTCAACATCAGGCAAACGTCAACTTAGTGTTCTAATGATCCCAGAGTCTTGTATTCAACATCAGGCAAACAGCAACAGCCCAGCAGCTTCAGTAGCCAGTCTGGACATTTGATCTAAACCAAAACTGAGAAAACGTTTTACAACTGTCTTTATTCTCCATTAGTGGGCTTAACAAGAAGATGAGAAATATTGACATCTTAAAAGATCTGAACATCAGGGAAGATTGGCTAATAAACAGCATCCTTTCTCGGAAGCTGAAATATTTTGGTCATATCAAGCGCCACGACGGATTGGAAAAAAGACTATAGCAGAAGGCATGGTACCAGGAAGGAGGGGCAGGGGCCGACCGACACGAAGATGGGTACAGGATATAAGTGACTCCTTGAGTATGAAAGCTCATGAAGCGGGAGAACTGGCAAGAGATCGAGTTTCTTACAGGCAGACTGTGATGAGAGCGACGTTCTGTAAAGGACCTGCTACATGATGATGACTGGGCTTATCAGATTTTCCTGCTTACAACTGTGACTTTATTCTCCATTAGTGGGCTCATCAGATTTTCCTGCTCGAAGATTGCAGCCCGAGAGACTAACACCCAGTGACTTTTTATTCTTGGCGTTCACCAGCGTTAAACTCCGGCAGAAAGTGTTGGTTGTTCGTCCTCTTCTGGACTTTAGTCTTGTTCCAGAACCTAATTTTACACTGAACCCACTGACCCAATATTTTTTTAAAACTTTTAATGTTTAGAAGAATTTGGACCTATTGAATCCCATAATTTTTTCCTCAAGACACGTATATCAAAATAACACTGAAGTAGAAAATGGAAAATTCGGAACAAATCAATAACATGACAACATTTACTGTGAGATAACTGAACACATAAAATCATGAAAGAAAGTAATCACAGCACATCACGTAATCACAGCACATCACGTAATCACAGCACATCACGTAATCACAGCACATCACGTAATCACGGCACATCACGTAATCACAGCACATCACGTAATCACAGCACATCACGTAATGATACACCACATCTCTCGAGATCATCGTGCCAATCAGTAACACGGCTCTTCTCCTTGTCCTTAATTCCTCTTCTCCTCTCTTCCCAGGCACATACCCCTCATTATTGGTTCATCTCTAGACCTACATGCACGTTTCAGAAAGTCACCAGCAATATTTCAATTTTCTTTGCCACATATTGTCTTTACTGCCAACCCTCTTCAATATTCAGCTCTTGAAGTAATGGATGCATTGTTCTTTTCCTTTACAGCATATTCTGAACGTCAATCTGTAACAGCACTCCACGTAATCCAGCATACATGACTCACTCCAGAGCTCTTGAAGACAAAGCACATTGACTCCACAAAGAGCCGCACAGTTGATCATTTCGGTGATTCGTGCAAACAATGCATCCCTCTTTAAAAAAAAAAAAACAGTGGCACACAATTATTAATAAAATGTTTCCCATTTAAAGTCGTAGCAAAGCATACATTAATAACGACTTATAATTATATCGTCATCAGGAAGTGTCCGTCTTGTCGTCGTGGCAATCTACGATACATGGGATCTCCAACAAATGTATCAGTACCTGTTATCTCCACGCTGTATCAGTACATGTGATCTCCATGCACATGTATCGTACATGTGATCATTCACAGCATGTACGTACATGTGATCTCCACACATGTATCATACATGATGATCTCCATACAGCATCCTACGCAGTACAGTTGTCTCCGAACCAGCATGTATCAGTATGTGATCTCCAACAGCATGGTATGCATCCTCAGTGCTCACATGCAAAAGGCTGTCAGGTTCTTCTTACATTTTATCAGAAACATGTTTTCTCTTTCCACAAAATGTCTTTTTCCTGATTGTCCTGTGATGAGTTTTTTTTTTTTTTTAGCCTTCAAATCTTTCAAAAACACTCAGTGTACTCATTTTACCTGTCCAAGAAAAAATAAATCAAAAATGTTGAAGAAATGTTTAAGTACATTTGTAAAACCACATCTCACGGTGGTCTTAAGAATGTTAAATGCCTGCAAACATGGCCACAATCTCAGAGGCCTCAGATAAGTATTGAGCCTTCACGGTCCGTAAAACCATATCTCAGAGGTCTCAAGAAATTTTGAGCACGTCCGTAAAACCACATCTCAGAGGTCTCAAGAAATGCTAGGTACGTCTGTAAAACCACATCTCAGAGGTCTCAAGAAATGCTAGGCACGTCTGTAAAACCACACATACTCAGAGGTCTCCAATAAATTGTTGAGCCCGTCCTGTTAAGCCAACATCTCAGAGGTCTCAAGAAATGTTGAGCCCGTCTGTAAAGCCACATCTCAGAGGTCTCAAGAAATGTTGAGCCCGTCTGTAAAGCCACATCTCAGAGGTCTCAAGAAATGTTGAGCCCGTCTGTAAAGCCACATCTCAGGGGTCTCAAGAAATCCTTTGGCATGTTTATTAATTGTTTAGGATCCCTAGCTATATTAACCTATCTAAACAAAATGTATGTGCCATCTCCACAATGAAAGTTACCTACAGTGACCTACTGCTGTCTGTGGGAATATTATGCCGTGAAGCCCCAATCTATACCATGGTACGCCCATGCCATATCCCTATTGCCAGTTACAAGAAACTACCAAAACCAGGTGTGCCACAACCGCCCCCCCCCAACCCATCAAGGAAAATCAAACCTTTCGTACTTAAAGATAATGAAATCTGTAAAAGCATTCACTAGTCTATAAACAAAAGGATGCATACTATCCTGTCCCTATCTTCAGATGCGGTATCATATTCATAGCCATAAACTGCCGTGTTGCATACATCTAGATCCTTTCAAATGCAGATGTACTAATCTCATGAAATAAAACTAACACCCTCTCCTCTTTTTGGTTTCCCCCTTTTTTCCCCTCAGCTGTAAATGACAAAGCGAGCATACTGAAAGATATCCCCCCAAAAAAATGTATTTAAGGAAATTTTTTTTTTTTTTTGGGGGGGGGGGGGGGGGGGGGGGGGGGGGGGGGGGGGGGTTTTCTGAGGTGGAAACCTTTTTCTCTGTCTCGGGTTAATTTCTGTCAAACCTTGTCTTGTTTTGTCTTCTGCTTTGTTTTTCTTATTGGTCTGCAAAAAACCCAAATTCCTGCAACTCCAAAATAATTTCTCTTCTCGTGAAGTTCAAAAATTCTTTTCCGACATCAGGATTTAAAAAATTATATAGCTCTTAAAAAAGGCCTTAAATGCCCTTTTGTCTGCTTTTTGGGAAAAATTTCTGTTTTTCCCCCCCGGGCCCCATGAGCATTATTTAGTGACAGCAAAAATAGAAACCCATTAAACTGTTTCCACTGTGTTTTTTTTCAACACTCAGTAATTATGGATCCCTTTGAGCTTTTGGGATTATTTTGTATAATAGAAATGGTTCAAAATTTATCCTTAAAGACTCTTTCATTACGATTTTAGCATATTTTTATACGTTTTAAGTGATAGGGCCCGAATCTCAAAAAATTTGGGAGGTAGGGGATAAATGAAAGGGAAGAGTTTTTTATAAAATCTCGGAACAGTTAATTGATGTAACAAAAACTAACAAAACATTCAAGGGGCCCCGGGAAAAGAAAAATGTAGGGGACTTTGTAAAAATATTAAAATAAATAGGTACTTTTACATAAAAAAATTTCCCTTTTCAGAAAACTGGTTCTGTAGGGGAAGAACAATCTGATTCTGGATCACGCAACCCGCCCAACGGGCCTTTGTGCTTTCTGCGGCTGCACTAAACACTTTAACCCTTTTTCAATAAAATTTTTCCCCTTTTGCAATAGATGTTGCCTAACCCGCAAGTAAAGGGCCCTCTGCCCAACAAACTTTTCCCTCCCATTTTTCAGCCCAAAAATCAGAAAACCAATCTGGTTTTGGGAAAATTACCTTTCCCACTTGTAATTTTTAGCATTGTTTATTTTTTGGTTTTATTATGTTTCTTGTTTAGGAAATATTTATTTTTTGAAAATTGGGCCGAGAGGAGAAAATTTTATGAACGGAAAAATATCAAAATTTATTTTTAGAGCTGATTAATTTTATTTTTATGAGAGCTTATGGGATGACGAGGGAGCGAACTTTCTATTTGTTTTTGGTAAAGGGTTTCGTTTTTGAGTGTTCAAACCTAGTGTTTGTGTAAGGTCGTGTAAAGGGGATGTAATTTTCTAAACCGATGGTTTTGGGGTTTAGAAATAAGAATAAGTTTTTGAATTTGGGTTTTTCTTCAGCACGCCGGACAAATCCAAAGTTCTCAGATTCCTCCTTCAACGATTTTTCGCATCGCGCGGTTAAAAGTGCCAGTCCTTTTGTGGCTGAAAGACTTTCTTTTGTTTCCCTTGGGCCCCCTTTAGGCTTGGGTGTTCGATCCCTTTTCTCTCATTCTTGTATTTTTAGCAGGATGTGAACACGTTTCTTCCCCAATTTTTAGAAATCCTGTTTTTTTTAAGGGCACTGACAATGTCGGCGCGATTCATAGGTAGCCCCCTCCCAAAAATGCAGAACCTGTCAGTCACAGCTCTTTTCCTACCCCAGAAAACCCCTTTAAAGCGATTGGCCCCCTCTGCTGGAGCATCCTACTCCACCTTTTTCAGCATTTCTTTTTCCCGTTGTTAACCCAGACAATTTACATGTGCGGCATTCCCGATTTTCAACCGATTAATTTCCCCGTTGTCGCATCCCCCTTCCCCTTCCCCGAAAATAGATTTGCGATATCCTATGCCCGGGGTTTTAATGGTCCCATTCGCTTTTGCTATAACCCCAAAGACCTCCCTCTCTCTCCCTTCTCTCCTTTTTTCTCTCTCTCTCCCTCTTCCCCTCCCCTCTCTCTCTCTCTCTCTCGGTTCCAAAAACCCCACACACAATCAGAAAGTTTTTGACACCATTAGGCTGAAACCTTTTTTTGGGGTGAAGATGTTTACGGGGAAAACCTGTTTGGGAAAACCCCAGTGCTTGATGTCGTTTTTGATAGTCACTAAATTAAACATCAGCCCCAACCCACAAAAAAGAATTTTTATAAAAGGGGCACCATGGTTTAAAGCCCAATTTTTCCCGTGACGTCGATTGTGAAAAAAAAAAAACTTATATTTAAAGAGCACACATGGGGGGTGCCCCAAAGGGCAGGACGCCCAAATTTTGATAACATAAAATTATATAACAGAAAACCCCAAAGGGGAAAGCCCAAATTTTCAGGGACGCGATTGGGATAAAAACTTTTTATAACCCAGACACATGGGGGTGAAGGGCATTTACAGATTGTGATAACATAACTTAATTTAAAAGAGCCAGATGGGAAAAGCCCAATGTGCAGTTACT